AGTATATAGTGTCCTCATTTCACATGATAACTATTTCAAAAAAAAAAAAAAAAAAGTATCAGCTGTTAAGGGCCAGGGGCTATTAGGTGAATATAATCTTCTAATTTTCCCATTCTTTAATAATCAGACTTTACTGGTAGTAGCAGTATTTAGTTTCCAGTCATATCTGGAAACTGAAGTCTCACATATTAACACTGTTCAAATAAATATTTGAGTATATCTGTGACACTAAAATGTCATAAATGGTGACACTAAAATGTCATTAAGAGGCAAAATATGTGAACTCGGGGAAAAAAAAAATCCACTCCTGTACAATTTTAGACATCACATCTGTCATAGGTCTAGCCAGCTCAGAGTGTGGAAGAGGAATGTCTGTCCATTTGTACCTGTGCAAAAAGTCATACCTTTCATTTAACCAGTGCTGTTACAGTGATTTCTGTTTCTATCTGTATCTGACCTCAAGGATCAAGAGGAGTCTCCCAGAAATAATATAACAAGATATCTTTACCATCTTAGATAATTTTCACCTAAACACACTCTCTTTTATTTTCCAGAGGTAGTTGGATTTCCTAATTGAACCTCCTGGAACTGGCTGCAGAGTATACAGCACACCTTGACTGCTGGTCAGCTGTAAGATGGCAGTTTAAAGCTGAATAGTGTGATATCCTACTTCAAAATGCACTGGAAATTGAGATTAATTTCAGTCCATTTCTCAGGCAGATCCAGGCTGTATATTATGCAAAAGAGGATCCCCAGGAGAAAAATAAACATAAAGAAGTAAGACTGTCCAAATTGCTAGTATGATGTGGCCTGGTTTTCTTGAAGAGGAGACTTGTTAAGGTAAATTTAGTATAATCATTAACATCTTTCACCTTTATGCATTTATTTTTCTGTGAAATTGATGGTATACACTGTAGTGGCTAACAATACATACAAAAATAGCAAGGGTCTCCCTGGTGAGATAATGATCACACTAGCACCTCTATTAGAAACAAAAACAAAACAAAACAAACAAACAAAAAATGTATTAAAGTATTTTCAAGTTCATTCTTCAACGCAATCAAGAAGCATTACAGTTAAGCCAGTGCTCCTACTGAATGCCTAAAGAAAACAAAACAAAACAACAACAACAAATTATTACAGATACCAGTAGTATATCTCTTTGCCTACAAAAGAGGCTGATTAAATATTTTTGTCCAATTTTCACATGTACTTACCAATTTAGAATGCATTAATCATGTAAAAGAAACATGGATGGAATATATCAGGTTTCAGACTTAGAAAGTAGACAAAACTATATCTACCTAAGAGTTAGTAAGAAAATACTCACCAGAGATTTGACTGGAAATAAATTTTTACCTTTGACAAACACATGAGAACGGGAAATAGTGGATAGTCCATTTTTATGCTTCAGTGTGTCAGTTCATAATTTTTTACTTCTATGTGCATGTAAGTTAATGCACTTTAAATAAGCCTAAACAAAGGCAGCACGTTTTCTGTGGATGGTGTTTCCAATCTGAACATACGAAACTAAGAAACCTTTCTGTTACTTCATCCTTTTTGTTTTCTTTATACAATTATTCACTTGAACAAGTTTCTTAAGTAGAATATACACTGTAACCACTAACCTGCCTTTTTAAAGTGTAGTCATGGAAATCCTGAACAGTTAAGTGGAAGTATTCTCTCTAGAAATCAAGTTACAGAAGCTATATGCTTCATTTCGAGCTACAGAAACAAACACTGTGACCTCTGTGTACAATCACAGTAACTAGGATTTGGCAAACCCAGAATGAACTACTCAAAAAATCATCAATCATACAAGAATCCTTTGGAGAAATTGTTATTGAGTACAATCTTCAAAAACACATTCTGCTTTTGCCTAATACTGCATGTGGAGACTTAAGTTTTATTGATAAGGATTTAGAGATAAAGTCATAGAGTGCTTACTCATAAAATGCTCAGCTCTCTCCCCTGTTTCATGAGCCATTTCTTCACTCCTGCATATTTATTAAAGTTTTAATACTTTTATCCCATGCATTTTGATCTATTCATATGAAAAAAATACAATAACTTTTCAGCGGCTGCACCATTAAGTACTGAAATTCATTCAAATGTATTGTATAACTGCCTATAATAAAAATCTCAAAAATTAGAGGGTAACAGATAAAATGATTATTACATGAATTTTAAAAATGTAATGAAATGCTGCTGACTCTTCTATTAGATAACGTCTGATTTTACAATGAATTCAGACCACTACTATGACTTTTATAAGCTCATCAGCTGATGCTTGAACCACGCCTTTGCTACAATTTGAAAGCTTTTTTTCTGATGAGTTTCAAAACAGAAACACATGCAAGCCTGCAGTAATCTCATTCCCATGGAAATCACCTGGACTGAAACACAGACTCTAAATGAAACGCTTACCCAAATATTCTCTTGAATATTCTCTTCTTTAAGGATAAAATTAGGTATATGTGTCCCAGGGTTACATGCATGATTATGTGCCCCTTTGAGTATTTAAACTGCTGAATTCCAAGTATTGGTCTTCATTGATCTGCTCCTTAGATTTGCAATATATTTCTGTGGAAGAATGGCATAGACTATTCAGATGTCTTCTGAAGCAGACTATTCAGATGTCTTCTGAAGCAGGAGGCAGTTTTATGGGATGCATCCCAGGTAAGAAAGAGTGTGGCCCTGCACTTCATCTATGCAATAAGGGTATTGGTGGGGTTCCTCCAAATTGCTGGAAAATAAGTGTAGTGGTTTAACCAAGCTGGCAGCTAAGCACCACACAGATGTTCGCTCACGTTCCCCCCATCCTTGTCTCAATAAAGACAGTTTATTAGGATAGAAAATAAAGGAAAATAATAATAATGATGATGATGATATTACTACTAATAATAATGTGTAATAATGTGTACAAAAAAGTGATGCACAATGCAATTGCTTACAACCTGCTAACCAATGACCAGCCTATCCCCCAGCAGTGGTTCCCCCACCCTGGCCAGCCACCACATATTAATTGCTCAGCATGATGTCAGATGGTATGTAATATCCCTTTGGCCATTTTGGGTCAGCCCCCTCCCAGCTCCTGCTGCATGCCCAGCCTGTCCACTGGCAGGACAGAGTGAGAAGCTGAAAAGTCCTTAGCTTAGTGTAAGCACTGCTCTGCAGCAATTAAAACATCAGGGTGTTATCAACATTATTCTCATCCTAAATCACAGAGCACCATACCAGCTACTAGGAGATAGTTCTAATGTAGCCGAAACCAGGACAATATGGTGCAGAAGCACTTAAGAGGCCATATGGTCTATCGCTTTGCCAATGATTGGCTAGCAATCCTGTGCTTAATGTACCTCAGGATATGTCTGGCCCTTTTAGCTGCCAGGGCAACCTGTTGACTCGTATTCAACTTGGCTTTGACTGAAAGCCTCAGATCCCTTTCCATGGGGCTGCTCTCCAGCCTCTTGTCCCCTAGTCTGTACATGTATAAGGGTTGCCCCATGCCGGGTGCAAAATCTGGCACTTGCTCTTGCTAAAATTCGTGTGGTTGATGATTGCCTGAGCTCTCTAATTTGTCAAGATCTTCCTGCAAGGTTTCTCCAACCTCAAGGGAGTCAACAGCAAGTTCCATACATTCCAGCTCCTCTGTTACATACAGCATCAACTCCTGCCTTACCTGCTCTGCCTGTCCCTTCTGAACAGCCTATAACCATTCATCATAACACACCAGTTACAGGTTTTGCTTACATTAATGGTGTTGTAGTTCTGGGACTGAGTCAAGGCTTCTTGTTCCTCTTGCTTGTTCTTCATGCTGCATGCAACAGTGTAGAAACATGCAAATGTGCTTCATTGTACTCAGCACCTCATAGAGCAGACTGAGGGATCTCACTAACATGCAGTTTCTCAAATTTTGGTGTGCCATCTCATAACTCTTCAATAGTGTTTAGCTTAGTTTTACCCCTTCCCCCTCTAAATCTAGTTTAAAGCAGTCAGTCCTGGTAACTCCTGCACAAAAATCCTTTTCCCTTTCTGTGAAAATTGCATCCTATCAGGCAACAGCAAGTCCGATGTTGTGTAGACCATCCCATGACTGAGAAAACGAAAATTCTGATAATAATATCAGCCTTGGAGTCATGTATTGATCAGCTGCATTTGCCTGTTCCTTTCAGTATTGTTCCCTGCTACTGGTAGATAGAGGAACACACTACCTGTACCCCTTCTCCTCTGACCAATTACCTTAAAAGCCCTGAAGTCCCTTTTGCTTTCTTTTGGACTTTTCTATACTACTTCATAGTTGCCAACATGAAAAGCCAACAATGAGCAATAATCAGAAGGCCATATAGTGCTAGTGAGTTTTCTAGTAACATGTTTTACCTGAGCCCCAGGAAGGCAGCAGACTTCCTCCCCTATAGGGTTGGTGTGCTTGGTGTATCAGCCTTCTGTTCTCATCAGAAGGGAGTCACCTATGACAACAGCATTTCTTTTTTCCAGCATGGAAAAAAACCAGCATGGAGGTGGTTGTGATACAGGGGATAAGCTGACTTGCCCTAGGCAACCCCCCTTCCAACCTGGACAGACCTCCATCTACATCATCGTTTGCCTGTCCATCAAGTTCCTGAGTCTCACGCCTGCTGTGTAAGGGCACTAGGGAAGGCAAGGTAGGAAGGTGGTTCACCTGCTGCCCTGAGCTGCAACTAGCTTCCATTCCCCACAGTCTCTTAGATCCTCTCCTGCCAGCTGGCAAGAGGGTAAGGTATCCTTCATTTCATTTGTTGTGACTAGCTGATGCATCTGTCTCAGGGATGATTCCACCAGTCAGTCTCCTTCTCTGACTCTCACTCACTCACTCATGCTCCTCACTCAGCCTGTCCACCACCTCCTGAAGCTCTGCCACCATGCTGAACAGTTCCACCTGGGCACACCTCCCACAGGTGTGCTCACTGCTGCCATCTGACCCTGATTGAAAGCTCAGGCACACCCTGCAGCTTGGGGCCTGGGTAGTCCCATGTTCCTTTGGGACCTCCATCTGGGTAGTTATGGTGATTCCCGTGGTTGGAGTGGCCACAGGAGGCACAGAGGACATGGCTTTCTGCTGAGGAAGATGCCGTGACTCCACATAAGTGGGTCACAACCACTGGTTGAAGAAGCAGTGACAGCGCCCTCCCTGCAGGCCCTCACACACAAACAACTGTGCCACATCCTAGCTGTCATACTGTGGCCTGTTAGCTTGCTCTGGTCACTCATGCTCCTCTGCTACACTATGGGACATGCCTGCACTGGAGCTGATCACCTTGGTGAGTGTTTTAAATACGATTACGGAAAAACAGAGCAAAATAAAACAAACAAAAAACACAAAGTGTTGCAATATAACAAAAAACTTAAGTATCTACCTACCTTTGAACTTCTACTTAAATATACTTTCATTTGGTAGTCTCAGAATTACTACATCTCAGAATTTGTATTCAACCCATGGTGAAATTCCAACAGTTCTTGTGTCAGTCAAGATTTTGTCACTGATTTCAGTGTTGGAAGGGTTTCACCCTCAGACCCTAACAGTTGGCAGCTGAGAAAATATGTGCTTATCTTATAAAATAAATATTGTCAGCATTTCATCCTACTCTCTTCTGATCTGCCCTTATTAATGAAATCTATATTCTATCTCCATCAAGTCACTATTCTCTCAAATCCTTCCTGAACACTCTTTTATTCTTTGGGGCCTACAAGAAATGAGTTAACAATGTTAGAAAAGCAATTTATTCTTTCTTTCTCCTCTCTCTATCTGTATACATATATACACATAAATGTGTATATGTACATATATATACACCAATATATATAAAATGTCTAGTGTATGGTATTTTATATCCTGTGGTTTCAATGCACCTTGCCTTAGCCATGTCTGCCATGTAAGTGCTTTCTGATGATATCTGTCTATATTTTGTGTCTCGTGCAGGGGAAAACACCTCTCACATTGCTTTACAAAAAGAACAGGGCAACTATTATATTGCTCCTAACTACTTGAGGGCTGAGTGACGGGATATGCTTTATTGTGACAGGGACATCCACAATTCCAGGATGCTCTGGCTGACATGCAGAATTATGGGAGCATAGCTCCAATACAGCTGGCTTGGCTGTGCTAAGTGTGTTTTTCCACAGAAAGAGAAGGACCTGACATGTGGGTTGTATGCTGTTTCCTCTGTGATGTGTATCACATTTACAGAAACCTTCTTCACTTGATAGTGCTGGAAGTCACTCAGTGTCTCAGGAGTATGGCTGATGTAAAGACTAATTATATACATACATAATATTTTTTTGTTAAGCTCACAGTGTGGCAGGCCAGGTATGGTGAAAATTGATCATTCTATGTACTTGTATTGAATGATTTGCAAGTATTTTCTGACTTAAAAATAAAACAGTGTTTGGCATGAGTGGAGCTTGAAAAATGGTGCAAGAAGGAAGAGGAATAAGACATTGACTTGCTTGACAATAGTCATATTGAAACTATACATTAGGTTTCTAGGCTACTTTGTCTGTTTCTTAATTATCTGGAACCTGCATTCCTTTCTGTGGAAGGGTAAATATCACCTACAACATCTCATTGGAACTTACATGGCAGAAGCTTCTGAAGTACCTTTAAACATTATGCAGAAAATTCTCATTTCTGGACATAAACAAAATGCCTGTGGCTGAGTCTAACCAAAGCAATGCACTTCTTTTTTCATGTGCAAATAACATTGCCTGGGCCACTGGAGTTCATAATTAAACTACTCCTTATCTCTATTAGGATGTTGTACTTTCTTAAGTGGTTCCAGCAGGAAGAGCCTAGGCATGTCTCTGAACAGCTGGTACCATAGACCAGGCTGACTCCTGCCAAAGACTCTTTGACCTTCATCTCTTAAACAGTCACACTCTAGCCTAAACTGGGTAATAGTACTGCTCCTGCCAATGCACCTTTTCTGAATATGCCCTTTTGTTGCCGTGCTGAGTAGCTGGAGCTCTGTTTGCTTTCACAGTATCTTTTAATTTTACATAGCCTTTGGGATTAAGATCTGGGTGATGAATAGAACAATATCTCTTACCTATTGTGAACAGAGGTGCCCAAACTGTATCCTGTGTCACAGTGTCTGAGCTTGCATAGGATCCCATATATTACTTTATTATGTTTGAGTTACAGTTTCCCTTTTTACACATGCCTAGTGATATGAGTTTGCATAGAAAAAAAAAAAAAAAAGTGTTTTTAAACAGGAAAACAAATATTTTCCAGAAGGACAGTTGAATGCTGAAAACATGGTGAAAAATACCACATCTAAAACTCATTTTGTATGATCTATTGTTCACAGAGAGCAAGCATACATCATTTGGTTTTATTTTTACCCTAGAATTTAATGCCCTTTGTGCAAAATGTAGAAGTTAATTGGTAGCTAACTCACTTTGATGGTATGTTTGCTGTGCTTGAGGGACATATTTTCCCAAATTGCCACATTTTAAATAGATTTTACCTTGCAGGGCTTACTTTTAGCTTATCATTACAACTTGGAAAAATTCACTACCTTTGCTCCATGCAGATAAGTGTTCCCAACACACTTAGTAATGAGATATCATGTATATATGTGCAAAGAAAAAGAGTATAAGGAAAAACAAAACAAACAAACAAACAAAAACACAACCCCAAGAAACTTCTACTGTGAAGGATGTAGCAATTAATTGTTGTTGGACACGGACATTTAATTTTTGATGATGCATGAGGTGTTTCCTTAAGAAAAGGTTGAAGGTCTCTTTCTGTATATTCAAGGCACTCATTTTTGTCAGTTGAGAATCAGAAATGTAGAAATCCTGCATGAATGATAGCTTCCTTCTCTCACATTTTGTTAAACATTTGGTAGGAGTCTTTTGAACATTCAAAATTTAGAGCTCTATCAGAAAAGATGATGACCTAGCACTCTCATCTGCTCCAGGAAAATATTTTGGTTCAGACCAAACCATGTCTTACTCATAGAATTATAGAATGGTTTGGGTTGGAAGGAACTTTAAAGATCATTTAACTCAAATCCCCCTGCCGCAGGCATAGGCAGGGATGCCACCCACTAGATCAGGTTGGCCAACCACCCATCCAGCCTGGCCTCAAACACCTCCAAGGACAGGACATCTACAACTTTTCTTGACAACCTGTTCCAGTGCCTCACTACCCTTACAGTGAAGAATTTCCTCATAATATCTAATCTAAATCTATCCTCTTTGTGTTTAGCTTGCAAAGATCCATTAACAGAGGCTACTGGCCAGTTGTTAGAGTTGGATGTTAGAAAGAAATTCAAAATACAAACTTCAGTAACTAAAGTGGAACATTCTTCCAGGAGATATTAGTGTACAGCCCCACATTTCAGAGGTGGTTACACTGCTAATTTATAGTTTACAGTAATTTCACTACTTTAGAACTACTGCAGAGAGCAAAGACACGGGGTTCTGTCAGGTTGTTTGTTTTTTTGTTGTTGTTGTTATTGTTTTTAAGTATGCAATACAAATCCTGACTTCCTTGCTAGGCTTTTATTATTATTTATTAGCTGATGTCAATCACATCTTTTCTTTATAGTCTTAATAGTAAATGGAAGAAGACATTAGAATGTAGTTATTTATGAAATCCATACTTTTCCATAAGAATTTTACCCCTGAGCTAAAATTTATTTAACTAAATAATATTTCTTTTCAATGATGGTGGAAATCACAAAACTGATAACAGAAAGTCAGCCGTTTACAACACAATATTCTTCATTTCTACTTAAAATCGAGAGCAATCTTTTTAGCAAACAAACAAAAAAAAAAAAATAAAAATCAACCAACCAAAAAAATTTGACATATGCAATACATCAAGACATATTAGAGGTGTTGCCCTGGAGTGTTCTGCACGTGCAAGTGGAAAGTGAGAGTTTAGTGTGCCAAATATCTGAAACACAGGCAAGTAGGTAAGAGACAAGGCTATAATTCATTGTGGCTTCATGCCATGTTTGTTTGCCTCTCTGTATAAAAATGAAACCCTCTAGGGGTATTCAAACTTTGAAAATAAAGTATTTTAACTCCAAAAAGATGATGGTAATGTGAAAGTATTGGTTTGAAATGACAAAAGCCCTAAGCTTTTAAATCTTTACAATGTTAAAGTTTAACTAATTTGCATGAAACTGCCATTAGTTTACCATAACCATTATTACTGCTAACAGCAATTCAATCACGTCTTAAATTTGGGATTTCAACAGCACAGGGAATTTATCTTTCCAAATAAATAATTTGAGTAACATGCTAAGTAATTCTGAAGAGCAGTCATCCCTCATCTTTTTGGAGGTGAATTCTCCACTGGTTTCCATGTAGTTTCCCATCAGATGGCAAACATGCCTCCCATATGATTTTCCCCATCCCCAGTAAACCCTGAATGTGTTTTTGAGCCAGTGCATCCCTTGATGTGAAAATGTTACATAAATATGGCTAAGCAGACTGATGTGACTGCCTAGGTTTACCTTCCCACAGGGCTCCTGCAGAAGTCCAGCAGATGTGTCTCCTGGCAGAAAATCAGCTGAGATAATGAGAAAAGACTTCAACTTCCATATGCTGGTATCAGCCCAGATTTAATGTGCTCCTCTGAGTGCTTCTCTTCGTCAAAACTTCTGTAGCACTCTGGCAGGTTTTCTCAACCCCTTCAAGAGAAGATGCTCACGGAAAGGCTGCCGGTCTATAATTACTCTGCTGTGTCTGCTTTTCTGCTCCTTTCCCATCAGCCCCGATGAGCTTAAATAGAAGTTATATTCTGTATTTTCCCTCACCTCTCAGTGGCCAATATCAGTGAATACATTTGATTGTATACTTGTTGCTAAGAAATGTGGCCCTGGCTGCCCTTTGGAAAAATTATGACTATGTTATAGATCCAAAACCTAGAAGAGCTTGGGTTTTATGAGGGATACTGGTAGGACACCTAAGTATTCCTCTTACATGATGGTTATATAGGATGGGGTTCAAGTCTTCACAGGCAGATTGGCAGCAAGATGCAGATGACATAAACAGAATGCAAATATGGAAGGAAATCTGGTGGACCTTAGGTTGCTTCTGACTCTACCAGTTTCTTCTAGCTATCTAGAAATCTCTGGGATTTCAACACAGAAAGTTCTTAAAAATTATATATATATATATATATATTATTTTATACTTTTAAAATATTTTAACATTATTATCATTATTATAAATTATTTCAGAAATTACTGTGTTTCAACCCTTCCTTTCTCTACATGTTTCTTTTTCACTGATTTATTTTCTCAGTAGAGAAAAAATATAGCAACTATTGGTTTAGACTACCAGTCTGGTGGAAATCTTAATCAATACTCTCTGAGTGCATAAGAGCCCCATGAACAGCATTCATAGAATAATGCCCTCCTAAGAGAGATGCAAACTGTACCAGAAATTGTTGTAACTCCATTGCACGGTTTATACTCCTCTGACCTTCTTAGTGTGACTAAGTAATTGATCTCACTGCCTTCTTGGTTTTGGAAACTTTTACTGTGGGGAAAAAAAAATAAATTACAGTTTCCTTCAACATTGTGTAAAATCACCACTTTATTATTCACTTTATTATTTTTAACATACCTCAAGGGATGGAAGAAAATATAGAAAGGGACCAATAAACTGAGAAATATATTTTCTATGTACATCTTATCAGAAAGGGTGGAAACTTGTAAGTATGAATGAAATGAATGATCATTGTCTTGCAAAAGTGTAATTTTGACAAACAAACAAAAAAGTGCCATGCTCTCCTTGGTATATTTACAAAGTTTAAATCTGTAGGATTTAAGAAGAGCCCTCATGCTTCAACCCTGTATGGATTAAACAGTTTTGGTGGTTTTGTTTTGTTTTGGTTGGTTGGCTTTGATTTTGTTTTTGTTTGTTGTTGTCATTGTTTTTGCCTTTCTGAAACAAAAAGAGGTCCTGCCTTAGCGAGGTTGGAGGACTAGTTGACACTTATTGCCTGAATGGTTGGCACCAACAATTGCAGTTCCATGTTCCGCTTTCTCCCAGAGAACTCAGAGTGTCTTCCAGAAGTAGGAAGACTTCCACATGTGAGGAAACTGAAACTTGGCAAAGGGAGGTGATATGTCCAAGGTCACAAAGTAAACCAAAGACAGAAATGGGACTTCAGTTATCTTTTAAGCCCAAATCAGACACTTAACAAAACTTAGGATACAGTTAGTCCGTGTCAAGAAGAGATGCTAGTGTGGTGGTTTTACTCAGGTGAGCAGCCGAGCTCCACCACAACTGCTCTCTCACTCCCCCTCTCCTCAAAGAGGAAGGGGGAGAAAATACAACACAGAGAACTCGAGGTTTGAGATGAGAAAGGTTTAATTAAAGGGAAAGGGAATGGGGAGGAAAAACAGAAACAAAAGAAACAATCAGTCCATGCGGAAGCACAGAGAGAGAAAAAAAAAATTATTCTCTACTTCCCATCAACGAGCGGTGTTCGGCCACGTCCTGGGAAGCAGGGCCTCAAAAGCGTAGTGGTTGTTCAGGAGGAACAGCCCCCTCCCCCACGAGAGCCCCCCCTTTTATTGCTGAGTGTGACATCAGATGTTATGGAATATCCCTTTGGTTGGTTTAGGTCAGCTGCCCCGGCAATGTCCCCTCCCCATCACTTGCCCAGCCTGCTGGCTCTTGGGGGCTTGGAAGGAGTCCTGATGCTGTGCCAGCACTACACAACAATAGACACAACACTGGAGTGATATCAGTGCTGTTCCAGCTACGAGTGCAGAGTACAGCACTGTGCGGGCTGCTGCAGGGAAAAGGTGACTCCAGCTCAGACAGACCCAACACAGCTAGCTGAACATCAAGCTGTTGTTACTTTCCCAAGATGGCATGAAGATTCATACTGTGCCATTTCAATATGAACTAAGTTTAAGGAAAACATGTTTTGCAGAGCTGTTCTTTCCTGATGACATGCTACTACATCTAAGTAAGTATTTACAGGAAAAAGGAGTGCCTTAAAGTCATCTCATCCAAGGTATCTTCAGTCTTGCTGTTAGTTCCTGCTATCTTCTTTCCCACTGCTAAGTTTCCAGTTCTTATTTACTGGAGTCAGGGAGATGAAGATAATTTGTTGCATAAGTGGGAGGCTCCCACTGTGAAGTCCTGTCTTCATCACCTAACAGAGTGCAATGGATAGGTATCTTTACAGCTTGTAATAAGAGGAGTGGCTGAAGATTGACCAACAGAACAATAGTACAGGTAGATTGACCCAATTCTGTTCAAATTAAAATTCAAATTCAACAACTCAGTCTACAAGGGATTCTAACAAACCTGCTTTCAAACTGAAACATGAATTGTGTGTTGATTCTTGAACAAATGAAAACTACATCGAATAGAATCATCTTTCTGATACAAGTCAGAACTCTGCTGGCCACCTTGGCCACCTGAGCACACTGCTAGCTCAAACTCATCTGGCTATTGAACAATACCCCCAGATCCCTTTCCACCAGACAGCCTTCCAGAAACTCTTCCCCCAGCCTGTAGCATTGCATGGGGTTGTTGTGCCCCAAGTGCAGGATTCGCCACTTAGCCTTTTTGAATGTCATATCTTGGCCTCAGCCCATGGGTTCAGCCTATCTAGATCCCTCTGCAGAGCTTTCCTACCTTGAGCAGATCAACACATGCACCTAACTTGGTGTCATCTGCAAACTTACTGAGGGTGCACTCGATCCCCTCACCCAGATCATTGATGAAGAAGATACTGAAGAGAACTGGCCCCAGTACTGAGCCCTGTGTGACTGGCCTCCAACCGGATTTAGCTCCATTCACCACAACTATTTTGGGCCTGGCCACACAGCCATTTTTTAACCCAATGAAGTGTACACCCATCCATTCTTCTTCAGAAGAATGCTGTGGAAAACAGTATCAAAAGCCTTAGTGAAGTCCAGGTAGACCACAACTACAGCGTTTCCCTCATTCATTGAACACCTCCCCTTTAGAAGGAGATCGCGTTCATCAATCAGGACCTGCCTTTGATAAACCCATGCTGGCTGGGCCTGATCACCTGGTTGTGTGATCATATACCTGTTATATAATACAGGTATGAATGCTTCACTTCTGTACAGAAATTTCAATAAGCAGAGAATGCCACTCTGAGTTGCTTTTTTTTAAACTACCAAAATTTAGCAAGACCTCATCACAAGGCTACTCTAACTACCCTGCTGCCTAATAAAGAATGCTATTTTGATACCTTCTTAAAAATCACTTACTAAAGCAGAGGAACGTCTGTTTAAGGTAATCAGAAAACCTTTTTTGATTAAGAGTAAATAAACTGATGCTGTGTAAAAGCAATAAAATCTGTTTTTGTTAATGTCATGAATGCTGGAAATTGGGTATAACATAAATATATATTGTAATCCAAGACTGTTGCTTTCCTACCTTCATACACAGGGATGCAAGAAACTTTACCCTGAGCTGGTGGAAGGGGATGGGGAGCAGGATGTGGCCCTCACTATCCACGAAGAAATGGTTGGTGACCTGGTACAGCACTTGGATGTGTGCAAGTTGATGGGGCCGGATGGGATCCACCCAAGGGTACTGAGAGAAGTGGCAGAGGAGCTGGCCAAGCCGCTTAACATCATTTATCAACAGTCCTGGCTATCAGGGGAGGTCCCAGTTGACTGGTGGCTAGCAAACGTGACGCCCATCTACAAGAAGGGCCGGAGGGCAGACCCAGGAAACTACAGGCCTGTCAGTTTGACCCCAGTGCCAGGGAAGCTCATGGAGCAGGTTCTCTTGAGAGTCATCACGCAGCACTTGCAGGGCAAGCAGGTGATCAGGCCCAGTCAGCATGGGTTTATGAAAGGCAGGTCCTACTTGACGAACCTGATCTCCTTCTATGACCAAGTGACACGCTGGGTGGATGAGGGAAAGGCTGTGGATGTGGTCTACCTTGACTTCAGCAAGGCTTTTGACACCGTCTCCCACAGCATTCTCCTCAAGAAACTGGCCGCTCTTGGCTTGGAGTGGCGCACGCTTCGTTGGGTTAGAAACTGGCTGGATAGCCGGGCCCAAAGAGTCGTGGTGAATGGAGTCAAGTCCAGTTGGAGGCCAGTCTCTAGTGGCATTCCCCAGGGCTTGGTGCTGGGGCCGGTCCTCTTTCATATCTTCATCGATGATCTGGACAAGGGCATTGAGTGCACCCTCAGTAAGTTTGCAGATGACACCAAGCTATGCGCATGTGTCGATCTGCTTGAGGGTAGGAAGGCTCTGCAGGAGGATCTGGATAGGCTGCACTGATGGGCTGAGGTCAACTGCATGAAGTTCAACAAGGCCAAGTGCCGAGTCCTCCACCTGGGATGCAATAACCCCAAGCAGAGCTACAGGCTGGGAGAGGAGTGGTTGGAGAGCTGCCAGGCAGAGAAGGACCTGGGAGTGATGGTTGATAGTCGGCTGAATATGAGCCAGCAGTGTGCTCAGGTGGCCAAGAAGGCCAACGGCATCCTGGCTTGTATCAGAAACACTGTGACCAGCAGGGCTAGGGAGGTGATCGTCCCCCTGTACTCGGCTCTGGTGAGGCCGCACCTCGAGTACTGTGTTCAGTTTTGGGCCCCTCACTACAAGAAGGACATCGAGGTGCTTGAGCGGGTCCAGAGAAGGGTGATGAAGCTGGTGAGGGGCCTGGAGAACAAGTCCTACAAGGAGCGGCTGAGGGAGCTGGGCTTGTTCAGCCTAGAGAAGAGGAGGCTCAGGGGCAACCTTATTGCTCTCTACAGGTACCTTAAAGGAGGTTGTAGAGAGGTGGGGGTCGGTCTGTTCTCCCACGTGCCTGGTGACAGGACAAGGGGGAATGGGCTTAAGTTGCGCCAGGGGAGTTTTAGGTTGGATGTTAGGAAGAACTTCTTTACCGAAAGGGTTGTTAGACATTGGAACAGGCTGCCCAGGGAAGTGGTGGAGTCACCATCCCTGGAAGTCTTTAAAAGACGTTTAGATGGCTTAGGGATATGGTTTAGTGGGGACTGTTAGTGCTAGGTCAGAGGTTGGACTCGATGATCTTGAGGTCTCTTCCAACCTAGAAATTCTGTGATTCTGTGATTCTGTAACACACATTTAGACAGTGAGACACTTGTCATACTCTCCTGCAAACTTGAGTGGAATATGGAAACTCCTAAGCACACCTGTAGTGCCTTCAGGGAAGCACAATCCCACAGGTATGGTCAGAGTCTCCCGATGAACTCAGACAGCTCAAGATTCAGGTTTTTTATAATAATGAATAGGACATCTGGGTTCAAGGATTGCTTCTACAAGAAAAAAAGTACTAACTATAGACTGTAATACACAGGAGGATATCCCAACCTACAGTCAATCTGCAGTTTAAATGGGTTCTACCCATCCTTTTAAAATTAGTCCAGAGTACTGAAAGTGTATTGTCAAGATTGAGAAAGCAAAGAAAGAACCTGTACTTAGACAACAATTTTGTTTTTGCAGGGTTCTGATTTCTATTCAAAATATAATTTATCTATTCCCTCTTTACTATAAAATACAGAAAGTGTCTCCAGGGGGGAAAAATGAAATGAAATGAAATAAATAAATAAATAAAATAAAATAAAATAAAATAAAATAAAATAAAATAAAGCATCACAGAACACAATAACAATAACAAATTTGCTTGCAGAAGACAG